GCTGTCTTTTTCTCGGCGGTCGAGGGCGCAACCTATGGCGCAACGCAAGGCCGAACCAACAGTGATTGTGCAATGGGTTCATGTTGATGTGTACGGGGGCATATGTTCGGTGCCGCCCTCACGATACAACACACGCAATGCACTTGTTCAGATGTGTGTATGTGTTGCGCTCGATAGTGTCCTTTCCACGTGTCAACGTTGCAACGCGTGCGGGTCTATGTATCTACACTTCTATATGTGTACATATATGCGTTCGTGTGATGTATGTATGTATACATATATATATGTGTATGTGCGTGTGTCTATTCGTGTTTATAGTTATGTGTATGTGCGTGTATACCCATGCATGCGACTTTACATATTGTATATGCGTGTATATGTGTATGTACATGTGTGCATGTATGTGTATATGCGTGTTTACCCATGTGCATGGTAGAACCCGCGCGGCGCAGTCAACATGGTGCCATGGGCTAAATTATCCTTTTGATAAAATGTAACATCATATTATGTTGCGCCATGAAGAATGCAGCGTGGACAATGGGCGGGGGGGTGGGCTCATGCATGGACACGACGCAGTCGCTGATGAGGAACATGGGAACATGGCAGTTTCCATTGATCGAGACGATCGCGCTCGCAGGCCACTCCCGGTGTTTTATCGCGCACGTCAGGGACATTCTTGATTTGCCCATCGCATAGAGCGCACGCATGCTCCGCATGCGCCGCCACGGGCATTTATTGCACATCACGAGTATCGAGGCAATTAAGGAGTCAATGGTAGATTCAGGGATAATCCGGTACTCTGGCAAACTTAGTGGATTATGCAGGGCACCTGATTACGGACTTCCTAGGTTGATACCTGCGAGGCGTGATTTCCCTGCTGCAAATAGCGAGCACATCCCTCACTGGCTTCGCCAGAGGAGGGATGGGGGGTTCCACCTGCCAAAAGTTATCAGAGCCCGGGCACTGCCCCTTCAGGACGAGGACCTCCGACTCATGGAACTTGGCCTTCTGCAGTTACTCCATCTCTTTGGGAGGTCGCGACGACTCACAATGCGAATTGGCAGTGCATTGCACTTTTTTTTTTTTTTTTTTTTTGTTTTCCCCCTCTCTCTCTCTCTCTCTCTCTCTCTCTCTCTCTCTCTCTCTCTCTCTCCCCTTGGGGCGCGTTGTGGCCCGCCTACGATGTCGCATCTGTCGCGACGGCGCTCTTGTGACGACAGGAGAAGCACGTTTTAATGACATGTCTCGCATTGTGCAGCTGGCGTCAATTGAAGATGCTACTCGACATGGTCGGCACATTGGTTGGGCACTTGTATTGTCTCAAGAGTGGACTGTATATGAGGTGGTTGTCTCACCGAGTTCGATCATAACGTGGATATTTTCGGATGAAGAAATAACAGTTGTCGGTCAGGGTCGGATATCCGAGGAAGATACGAATCGCACTATGCAGAAGCCGTGGGCCGATGATGGAAGATCCACATGTCAAAATTTCCACTCTGCGAGGGATGGTTGTGGACGTTGCCTCCAATGCCTAACTCAAGTTCAACATCAACACAATGTTCGAAATACTACCTGGCGGCACCTGGTAGAGATGCATTCGATTGGTGGTGCTGCCCAACTATGCCCAGCAGAAGGTCGGGGCCAATGGGAAGACCAACAGGAGACAATAGTTATTACCATCCCGTCGATTCAAGTGCTAACGGACAACTTGAGACGAGTTAGCGACGTTTCTATGTCGAATAGAGAATGAGACATCGATTTCCGGGCGATTGCTGGACTCCATCAACGGCCCAGCCGTTCTGATGGAATAATCGCATCTCGCGAAGAAAGCGCGGAGACATCGAAGGGCGTTGCAGACGCCAACATTGCCCAGCGTCACAAGGTGAACACTCCGATAAGATCGTTGCCTTTCTGGCTTGATTTAGTCTCCATATCGGGTTGCATGTCCTATGCGAAACGCAATGTAGAAGGACATGGCCGGCAGGAAATTATCAAAATTGCGGTGCAATTCATCCTTGATTATTTGCCTTCATCAGCGGTCTCGGCGCCTTTGACACTGACGCGACCCACGAGGCGCTGCGCGAATTGTCTGCACTTGTAGACAGAATATGGGCCGAACCCATTAACCGAATCCCCACTTGTGGGCGATGGGGGCGAATCTTGTTGGCCGTGCGAGCGGTTATTTATTTATGGCAGAGGGGCTTCATGCTGCATTTCCAGGATACGAAGTACAACGAACCTCAACTGATACGGACATTGCCCGTCAAGCACTGCGTGGCGCATATTCTCTGGACTGTCGGATTAGGTCCGCGATTGAATCGCTCGATCTGCTCCGCGAGGGGCCGATGGCACAGGAAGTGAAGTTTCGGGCACTGTCGAGCAACATTGCACAAGGATTCCGAATGCAATCGTTTTCGTGCAAACGTCTACTGACATCCGTTTCAATGCCAGGGTCTGAGCGTCAAGCAGTCGCATTGGTTTCTTCAGCACCGACAATGCTATTGACCTTGCCAATTGTTTCGAACAACCAAGGGAGGATAGCTTCTCAGCTGACTCCCCCACGGCGACTCCACAGCCCGCCGCAGACCCTGCGGCTACGCTCGTGGAAGCCAAAGCCCCGAGCGGCTCCGCCGGTCTGGGGCCGAGGGTTCAGCTACGTCCTCGACCATCGTCGAGACCGAGGACAATTTGGACAGAGAGGCGCGCCTATAAGCCTGCCCCTTATAATCCTGCGCCCGCCGGCTCAGCCGCGTCGGGCAGCGATGCTGGCTGGATTGATGCAGGTCGGGTCCGTGCATGGGCTGATGAACCCTTTGCATGAGTGGGCGGCCGCGCGAGCGATGGCGGCCGGGGCCCAACGCAGGGCCGCGCGGGCAAGAACGACAGTGGAGAAACTCAAGGATAAGATGCCCATGTGGCTCGCCATCAGCACGTCGCGCATAGTACCAGACCTTGGCAATTATTTAAGTAGCGTGAATGATTACAACGACAAATTTAATCGCGATCGCGCCTTGTCGGAGCCACCGCGACCACCTGCGCCGAAGGCGAGGGCGGCGGGCAAGGGCCGGGGCAAGGACAAGTCAGACAGCTGGAATTCAAGCAGACGAAGAGACAGATTCGATGGTCGTCAAGGAAGCCAGTACCAGTGGAACTGGCGCAACAGTAATGACTGGGATGATTCTCGAAGCTGCAGAGACGATTGGCAGAGGCAACTAAGTGCAAGAAGGACCTGGACGATTTCGTCGATGCCGGTCCGACGCCCGTCATGAAGCGGGTGCACCAGGTGTGCATGGGCTTTGTGGTCTGAGCTGACGTAATACTAGCTCAGGCTAGGTTCGTCGGGTTGCTTCGGTCTTCTGCCCCCTGGTAACCGCAGTCGAGCGGTAAAATGCTTTTGGGGTTTGCTCTTGTGGCTGTGCGCATGCACAGGCCAGGTGGGTGGGGGGTCGGGGCGACTCTACGCACCCCGCTGCTGGGGGGGTCGATGCACCCTTTCCGCGCCGCCACTCTGCTGCCCGTCCTGCTCTTTCGCCTTGCACTGATTGTCTCACTTTGTAGTGCTTGTGGCTTGTATGTTACATAATAGCTGTTTGGCTCTAGGGAAACAGAAAAGGAGCGAGCCTGCGGCGCGCGCGCGTCGGCCGGCGGGCCGGCCCCCCCCCTTCAGGGTTATTTTTTATAGTTTAACTGCATTTTCCTTTCTTCCCATGTTATCGGCGAAGCCCACTGATCATGAGACATCAACAGAACATCTAGCAGAAAGTATGAATACTCTGGCAGAAGACTGGAACTCCGTGGGGGCCACGATCCGTGTCAGAGGCGTGCCGAAGTGAGCTACGCCATGAAGCTTCCCTCTGGTGCTCCAGTTGCAGTTGCCTGCGGGGCACGATCCGCGCGAGTGGCATGCCACTATGCGAACCTTGTCTCTGGGGACGCAGGTGGAGCTCCCTGCGGGGCGCGATCCCTGTGAGCGCGCGAAGCGCGCGCGTGGTTCTGATACATATATATATGTATATATAAGTCTATATATATATAGAGAGAGAGAGAGAGAGAGAGAGAAACACAAAACATATAAAAAAACACATATATATATATAAATATAAAAGAACGAGAGAGAGAGCGATAGAGAGAGAGAGAGAGGGAGCGGGAGAGAGAGCCTGCAATGCCGTCCATTCGGCTATCAGTTTGTCACGAGTTGTCTTAGGCGGTCCGCATATATGCAGCAACTGCTGAGTCCGAGCCAGTTTCCCGAATTCCTCGCACACATGATAAGATGTTTGTTGAATCCGTCCCTCCCCAGCACTCCCGTGTTGATGCGTATTCGTTCTCTCTCCGCTGCGCCGCGCGTCTTCTTTCGCCCCGCCCCTTCTCCCGCCCCTTCATGCCGCTACTGCTGCGCTGCGTGTTGCATGCTGTTGCCCATCTCGGTACACCCTTGGCACGCATCATGACCCACAAGTCATCATCGCCAGAATCATCCCAACCCCTACTGGGACAGGACAGGGTCCATGCCGATCTGATCGATATGATTCGGCATCGATTCTGTCGATTTTGTCCAGCTCGACCCGAGTCGATCCCGATATTCTGGCCATCCGCTGAGGTCCGATGTTCGCATGGCGTTTTTGTGAATATTGGCGCGGTCGGTCCCATTCGATTTCGACTCCGTGCCGACGCGGCCCGATCCGACGCGCATTCTCCGATCCGATCCGATTTCCCGATCTGATGTTGACCGCTGTTGCCGAAATTGGTGCGTTCCACTAGGGTGCCGACCACGGCATGTCCACCGTGGTGTTTGACTTTGCGGAACTTTCGACCAGTGCCGGATTGCTACGGCGTGCTTTACCACAGCGTTTTTTTGAATACGACTGGGACTGAATACGTTGAGAATTTCGAAGCTTTCGGGCGTGTCGTCAGTAACATGAGGGGGGCGTCAAGACCGTGTGTTTGCCAGCATCGCAGAATGACAAGATGTGGCATTACATTCGCTTTGGGTTGGCCAGTCGTATCCTCAACGAATCGGACTATGAGGAGGAAGACACGGCGATAGCCTCTAATATTGAAGAGGAGAAGGCCGCTCCATATCAATGCCGACCCCTGTGCTATCTAAATGGGGTGCTGTGTGTGTTGTCGCTATGCGTTATGCGCTCATTGGTTGCAATCGAAGGCAAAATATTTCGCAAGCAGAGGCGCCAGTGACAAGTTAGCGCAGCACGTAAGGCGGTAAAAGGTGAGCGTTGAGGGTCCGAATATCACTTGCGGAGTATGGGTGGATGTGGCTCTCATGACATGTCCCACTCACGGTATTGGAGTATTATCTTCTGTTTGCTGCCAGGCGGCATAAGTTTGATGCATCGGTCCCGCATGCCGCAGTTTTTGGACCTTCACTGTTTGACCCTCGGGCTCTACAATAGTATATCCCACGGTGCGCTTTGAGCCTGTGCAGCCTGGCCCGCGATCACCTGATCGCCGAGCGGTCGCCACGGCCCGCGACGGCTCGCATACCAGCTGATCGGTCTCCCTCCTGGTTAAACCTCGGGAATAGTTTCTTTCGCGACACCAGAGCCCGCAGAACAATCGGAAGACTTTTGCATGTTGTTGCGCCCCAAACACAGGCATGCCGTTGCGCTCTAGCCGCATACATCATGCTGCGGCCTAGAACCAGCATCACATTCTACAGAAAGGACCCCTGCTGAGGTACCCTCTTGGGTCGTCCACTCACCCGGATTGATTATATTCAGGAAACTGGATGGCCTGGTTTGGGACTTTTCGCTTGGGGCATCCTCGGGCGCCCCACGGCATCCTCGGATATGCCTGGTTTGGGTCCTGGTTTGGCCTAGTTGGGGGCCAGGTTCGCCTGACGCGTCCATGCAATTTGCTTGCTTTGGCTTGTTTTCGGCATGGGTTCGCTTGATCTGTCCTCTCAATTGCCTGCTTTGGCTTGGTTTCGGCGGGGTTTTGTTTGAGACGTCCTCACGGTTTCGGTCTGGGTCGGGCGTGTTTTTTTTGCGCTTGAGGCATTTTTTGCGATTTGTTTGGTTCCTGATATGTGGTTTCGGTTGGAACGTCGTCATCATTTTTTCGATTCGTGGTGTTTCGGGTTGGGCTGCGCCGACATCGTCCTGATACTTGGCCTGGTTTGATATGGTTAGGGCTTCATCTCGCTTGAGAGGTTCTTCACATGTGTCCCGCATCGTCCAGGTTGGGCCTTCTTCTGCCTGATCTGTCCTCTCGTGCACTTCGGCTTGGCTCCTCCAATCGTCCGCCGCAGCTGAGTTTGACCGCAGCGGCGAGGAGCTCAAACCAGGGTAAAAACAAGAGACCCCGAACAGCGGCCGCGAAAGGCACTGAGCGCAGCGCCGCTCAGTAGAAAGCATGTGCATGCTATGCTGTGTGGTGCAAGTTACCTCGCGCAAGTTTTGCTGTGTAAGCTATGTGGTGGAAGCGATGCGGCGGAAACTATGCAGCGGAAGCTCAGTGGTGCAAAGTATGCGGCGGAAGATATGTGGTGCAAGTCCATCGCCTCGCCCTCGCTAAAAAGTGGCTGGCTGCACGCCGCGTTGGCCCGTGGACCGGTGTTAGGAAAATATTTCCTCGAGGTTATCGATAGTCGGCCGTGTGACAAAGCCAACGAGTTGCACCCACAAGAGAAAAGCAAGTATCGAAGACGCCTACGGCGCATCACCGCCACTCCCTGCCCCTTGGGAAACGCCTCTGTGGCCGACAGCTGGGCCAGAGCTTGGCCAAGCTATCGGGCCAGTTGTTCCCCGAGTCGTTTGGAAAGACTTCGGGGAACGCGTGGGGGAGCAAGAAGAGGAGGAGGGGGAGGATGAGGAAAAAAGAGGAGGAGGAGGTGGAGGAAGAGGAGGAAGAGGAGGAGGAAGAGGAGGAGGCCTCTTGGGCGCCTCATGGGGCACTCCTGGGGCCTCCTGGGAGCTTCCTGGGGGCCTCTTGGAGGGTTTTGGGGGGCATTTGGAGGCTTCTTGGCGGCCTTTTCGGCCGTCTTAGGGCATTCCTGGCTTGTCTGACGCCGTCGGAAGCCGTCTTGGGGGCCTGTCTGGGTCGTCTTGGGGCCCTCTGGGGGGATATCAGGGGCTCTTAGAGGCCATCTTGGGCATCTTGGAGGCCTCTTGGGCCGTTTTGGGGCCCTCTTGAGGCCGTCTTGGGAGCCTTTTGGGCCGTCATAGGGGCCAGTTTGGAGGCCTCTTGGGCGATATTGGGGGCCTCTTGCGCCGGTTTCAGCCGTCGGAATCCCGAGAAGAAGCACATGTTAACATCTTACAAACATCGATTGAAAATCCATGATTTGGGCCTCGTCGTGCCCTCCTGAAAGACCTCCTGGACGCCTTGTGGGCCGTCTTGGAGGGGCAAACCTCGCCTCGAGGCCCGCCTCGTCCTCGAGATCGGCAAGTTCGGGGCCAAAAGGAGTGCCAGCAGCAGGAAACGTAGCTGGGTCAGTATCTGTGAGTTGGGCATATAATGTGACACAGGAATCGAAGCATTCAGTCATGTCGTACTCTATGACTCTGGTCTGTTTGGGTTCTCTAGGTTGGTACGGCTCTGGCGGCTGGGCCGCTGAGTCCCCCCCCGTTACCTCCTCATCACTCTCGACTGGGACGGACGCGTTCATCTTGACTTTAGGAGGTGGCGGGTCCAAAATCGTGGGCAACTCACCTTGCCATTCGAGAAGCTGTGTGGATAGCCGGTGTTCGCATCCCAAATATCGTCCGACCGCTGTCGGAGGGTCTATCTCTATACCTTTGGGACAGTTGGGAGATGGGGATTGCAACAGCTTCCATCCTTGGGCTAGCTTGTCGGCAGGACCGGCCAGCTTGAAATCATCAACGTAGATGATCAGGAAGAGTTTCAATTCTGTGTGAAAATAACAGCCGTTAGCGGTAACATGCCCTTCGCAATGTTGCTCCCGATGCCCCCCTGAATCAGGGTGTCCGTACAAGATAAAATCAATGGGCATACGGGATTGCGCACATGCGACCAGGACTCAGGCCACCCATCACGGGGCAAAAACACTCACGTCGGGGTGCCGCCCAACTTTGATTGAGTGTAGGCCTGACGGGCATCAGCTTGTTCAATACTATGGCCTTCAAAGAGCCTGTAGGTGTCAGCTGCTTTGCTAGCCTGCATTGAAGCACGGCTGCTCGAAAGTTCCTGAAACAAAGCTACGTCTTTATTCTGATCTCTCACGCTGGAACCATCGAAGACGACCCGACCTTTATATTTACGGTCTTTATGTCCAGCGGCAGCTCGGAATTCTTTTCGACGAGGATCGCGAACAGACGACCAAAGTGGGCAGTCCTTCCTTTGAGTTCTGCAACGACATCGGCATATTATTTGACGTCTTTCTCGTCCCATGTGCTTATTTCTCGCAAGCGGTCCCATTCTATCCTCAAAGCGGCCTGGCATCTTGGTTAGCCTGGGCTTCGACTTTGGAAGCCGATCGCGCTGCAGCGGCATCGATCCGAGTCGTCGCCAATTCTTTCAAACCTTTCTTTTTCTCGGCCTGGCATTGGAGCCGAGCTATGCTGCAGCGGCGTCCGAGGCGCGCTTCGCCGCGACGCGGCGGCCGCCGGACTCGAGGTCTGGCTTGCCTCTTGTGTCACCTCAGAATCCGCATCAGATAATGAACCCCTACCGACTTGGCCGGAGGGGCCCCCATCACGCGCGATTGCACCGCCGCGCCAAGTTTGCTTCCACCAAGCGCCCTCGTCATCCGAAAGGTAATCGTCTGAGTCTTCTTCTGCGGAGGATTCGGTGGCCACAGCGGCGGCTTGGCCGCCCTGCGCCGCCTGCCTCCGAAATCGCTCAACGACCCATGGAGCGGCTCTCCTGGCCTTTGGGTGCGTTGCGAGACAAGCAGCATCCTCCTCAGATAGTGGGCGAGCCGCGGCTGGCTTGGCCACCGCGGGCTCAAGTGGAGTCGCCGGATCGCCCACGTCCAAGCCTATATCGCGCAAGAGGGCAAGACAAGGGCCGGGGTCGTCAATACCAAAGAATCCTATCTTTACTGCCTTAAACTGCTCAACGGCCTGTCGGCGTTGAGCCTGCTTCATGTTAAACCGGCGTCCAGGACGAATGCCGGGATTGGTGGATTCGGGCAATTTCTGTAGCCATTGGGCACCGTGCTTCGGATCTGGGTCTGTAACCCATACTCGAGTCGCGGGAACGTAGTCAGGATCGTAATAAAGTACAACTCGTATGCTACATGTTTTTTCGACGACCTGTCAATGGGAGCTCTTGTGTTAGTTCATCTTACGTACGCCGGTCCTCATAGTATCCCACCGTGGCAAGGTTCTGAGTTGTGCGAGCAAGGAGCCGCCCTTTCCCGGGGACCTTTTCGCGCGGCTTGGCCGCCGAAAAGTGAGATTGTCGATCCAAACGGTACTCAATGCGAGCGAGACCTAACTTCTGATCTTGATCTTCGTCTGGGCGAGAGTCTCGCTATGGGCCCCGACCGTCAATGGCCGCAGGCTCGCCGTCCACGCACGCGCCCCCCGGGCCGTCGTCATCGTCGGAATCGGCCTCGGAGTCCGGCGGTGGTGCGCCCTCGCCTCCTCGGGGAGGCGGCGGCGTAATCGCGGCGGGATCCTCTGCGCGACGCGGATGGGCCGATCGCGCTCCAGCCCCCTGCCCCGGGCCGTCTGGAACGGCCGCGGCTTCGCCGGCGGAGGGGATCGTAACGGAGCGCACTTCAGTCATCGCCTTCTCGCACGCTTTCCTCATTGGAAACTGGGGCGACTGGTCATCAGCAGTGCCATCTAGGATGTTGCTGTAGACTTGATCGGACTTCTCAATGGTGGGCCGCTTGCCTTCGGGCGCGCGCCCTGATTCCATGTTAAATCCTTCTAGCTGTCTAAGCGGCGCAACATAGCTCTCTGGACCAAGCGCGCCCCCCGCATTGTGTGCATACCCCAGGTATAACCCAGGAATCATTGCACCGCCAGTCTTGGCGATCCGAAATCTCGATTCTGGCGGGGGCCCATGGCGTAGAAGAGACCCGAAGGGAAGAAGCGGTGCCTCAAACTGGCGTCCAAAACGACGCCCCCATTTAGACT